CCCCACCCCCATCTCCTACCTACTAGCCTCATCCCGCCCCCTTGACCAGTCTGTCCTCCCTGGACTGACCTATCCCCTCCCTAACTCCCCACCTGCACTCGCCTTTACTGGATCCATCCCCACCTCTTTGACCTGTCTGTCTCCTCTCCACCTATCTTCTCCTTTATCCATCTTCTATCCCCCTCCCCCTCTCTCCCTATTTATTTCAGAATCCCCTTCTGCTCCCCCATTTCTGAAGAAGGGTCTAGGCCTGAAACGTCAGCCTGCCTGCTCCTCTGATGCTGCTTGGCCTGCTGTGTTCATCCAGCTCTACACCTTGTTAAACCAAATTGAACAGCAGTATTTTCCTGCATATGCATTTACCGGAACCATCATTATACAGACAATTAGTCGACTGGTCTATTGGCCAAAGGACAAAAACTTGTTTGATGGAAAATAATGTGGGAAAATATGAGATTATGCACTATGGCAGAAAAAATGGAGGAACTGAATGTTATTTGACTAGAGAAAGACTGAAGAAAGATGCAGAACAAAGGGATTTGGGGGTCTTTGTGCATAAATCACAAAAAGCTAGTTCAGCAGATAATAGGATGGCCTTTCCTTTAAAGGGAAAGGAGTGTATAGATAGGAAGTCTTGCTAAAACTGGACAATGCACTAGTTAAGTCACACCTCGAATGCTGTGACCAGTTTTGGTTTCCTGATCTACAGCAAGCTATACTGGCATTGGAAGCAATTCACAGAAGGTTCACTCAGTCAATCCCAGTTGAATTGGTTGAACCTGTACTCATTGAAGTTTAGGAACGTGAGAGGTGACCTTATTGGAACAGATAAGATTTGTAGGGGGCTTAACGGGATAGAGATTTGGGGAGATTGTTTACCCTTGTGGGAGAATCTAGAACCAGAGAGTTTAATCTCAGAGTAAGGGATCCCTTATTATAGATAGGGAAGAGGAAGTTTTTTTTCCTCTCAGAGGGTAATAAACCTGTGGAATTCTTTAATGTAAAGGGTTCTAGAGGCTGATTTTTCAAGGCTGCAATAGAATATTTTTTAATTAATGAGGGCATCAAGGATTATGGTGAAAAAGCAGCAAAGTGGAGTTGAATATTATCTGATAAGCCATGATCGCATTGAGTGATGGGGCAGATCTAATGGGCTGAATGATCAATTACTGCTCCTATATCTTAAGGTCTGAAAATGCACATCTGTTGCCTGGACATCTCAGGAGGAGCAGTCCAATACTTGACAGAAGAAGTCTCCAGAATAGTTGTTGTTTGTTGTGTTGTTCACAACTTACTCAATAACATGGTCGCAACTTATCCGATGGACAGATGAACCAGTTTCACCCTCCAAAGAAGTGGAAGAAGAGGCAATCAATGGAGATGCAAAGGGAGGTGAAGCCGACGATTTTGTTGCTAAAGAAGCCAAGGAAGTATGAGACATGGCAGACAGTCTTGAGAGAACTTAACAGAAGCTAAACTTGAGACTAAATGATATTGGAGTAACATATGTGGACAGTCAGAACTAGAAGCTATCTATCGCTAAGACATGTTCCTGCCTTGAAGGGAATGAGTGATTTTTTTACATGTAGATTTTATGCTTATTTATTAGGCATTCAATAAAAGTTTTTTTTTAAGCTTTGCTGTGATAACTTCCTGTACAATTTCATGGTCAGTGCATTGGGGGAGTGGTGCATATACCCCTCAAATGTCAATGAGCAAGGGACATTCGTTTATTGCAGAGATTGTGCTGAGTATTCTCCAAACCCACACATTTTGCTTAAGGTGACACTTCCATGT